TGGACTCTGGCTCCTCCTTAGCACCTTGGACTCATATGGTGTCCCTAAAATGCTGTATATTTATGTGTGTGTACAGGGGTATGTACATGTGTTCGTGGAGGGCAGAAGATAACTTTAAAGGTCTTCCGCAGCCACTTTTTACCTTATATTTTTGAGACAGTTTCTCCTTCATGTTGGAACTGACTGATTTCAGCTATAATGGGGAGATGTTGAGCCTCGGGGAATGTTAAGTCTGTGCCTCATGAGATTTAAAAGTTTAAAAGCCAGTGATATCTTACTCTAATTGCCTTAAAAGAAGGAGGATGAGGAAGGAAAAAAATTGCCTTCCTGAGATAATCAAATGGTTAGACCAGCAAAAGTCTTTGCTGCTTAGTCCTAATATCCTTACTTTGATCCCTGAGATTTACATTGTAGAAAGAGACAAGAAATTCGCACAAGTTACCCTTTCACTTCCACGTCTACACTATAACGTACACACATATGCACACACTAAATCAATTAATATAATTTTAAAAATCATTGTCTTCCTTGCTGGGGAGAATTGCTCTGTTCTGTCTATGAAGTACTTCGCTTTAAAGCAGGAGGATGTGATTTGATATCCAGAACCATGCTAGAAATATAAGGCATACTGGTGTATCCTTGTAATCTAGGCAGAGGTTTGGGGTTCACTGGTAAGCTAGCCTAGCCTAATTGATGAGCTCCAAGCCAAAGAGACATTAACTCAAAAGGCATGGAAGACATTCTTAAAGATAATACCTGAAATTGTCCTATGCCCTCCACAGTCAAACACTCACATGCACACACACTCATGGCTTGCTGGTTTATTAAGCTGTGTTTATATGTAAAGAGAGTTATCCTCTGTCCTTACAGGAATCCAGAAATGTAGAAGGGCTGCAAGGAGAAGGAAAGGCAAAGGTCTTAGCTCAGGCTTTGTATACTGTGGTTAATTACAACTGATGGAAGGCTTCTAATAAGGAGTGTAATGAGTGAGCAAGCTCTCCCACTATCTCTGACACTCAGTGAAGGATGATGCATTTCTTCCTGCTGTCATTACTGCAGTATCATAGGGATTACTGAAAATCAGCATTTCCAAATGAGAAGTGGCCATCCATTCCTGGCCAAACCGGCCTCCACACCTACCTCTGTATTCATTGTCAAAGACCAGAAACTTGACACTATGACTAATACACCACTGTCCTTCATTCCTTGGGTTGGGATTTTTGACTTTTTAAGATAAATCAGCAGTGTCCCTGCACTGATCAGGTTTTCTAGGTCACTTTTACAGGGTTACCTAATATTCAGTATACTCAAGAGTCAGCTAGAGACCTTTGAGGAAACTCCATTTAGTTTTCATGAATACCAGAGTATTCAGCAAGGTCAAACTGACTTTGTCCTCCATCCCCCACTTGAGAAGGAACTTGTAAGTTCTTATCATTTCTGCTCCATTATGGAAGTGCAATATATTGCAATCTTGGGTTCGTTTGCATTGTTGCTAATTAAAGCTTCTGCCATATATGCTTATATTGTTAGTCACTACAGGAATACTGTTCTGTCCATTACAATGGGGCTAATGTTATCTTTATTATCTTTTTAATTATGTAGACCCTTTGTCATATTAGCCACTTGGGGAGTGACTCTGTCAGGTACTCTGTTTCTATGGGATATTGTGGCATGGGTGTTTGCATAGGGTCCACTTCCTTCCTTTATCCAGGATTGTCTTTTCAATGCGGACCCCTGACTTAATGACCCTTGCTGTGTGCAAGGAAAATCAGCACGTCCATGAATGTCCTAAGAGACTGCCTAGAAAACTCACAGAGGTCACCCTCATCATACAATCTCCTCTCCTTAGAGCTTGCCATCATATGTCCACTCCATCCCAGAGACCTTACATTTTCCAGTTATTGGCATTGCTGCTGAATGGAGTGTTTGATCACAGACACAGGCAAAGCTAAGTTTCTGCACATTCATCAAGCTATTCTTGAGCTTCAACCATGTGGAGTACAATCAGAGTGAAAAGAACTTCTCCCATTCTCAAGGATTTTCAGTCAAATGCAAGGGACAGACATGGAAAATTAAACAGTGTGTGATTTTTCTGTGCATGGCGGGATAAGATAGGTCCCTTTAGGAGCTCCAGTCTAGCCTGAGGCAGAGAGGAGGAAGTCTCTTTATGTGACATTGGCTTTTAAGGAGGACAAAATACAAAGAAAGTGAAAATGGGAGCAGTAAAAGCTATGCAAATCTGGGGTAAGCTGATTATAATAACAGTATTTGCTTCCCTTTCACCAGAGTCTTTTCCACAACAATTCCTCCATTTTCTATTCTTTCTAAATACAAAGTCATTCACATGCCTCTTTTACATTTAATTGAACACTCATATTTAATTATGAATTAAGTTGGGGACTTAGGGTGACATTCAGGACTGGACTCATGTGGAGATTAATTTGTTCCAGGTGTCTCTTAGTGCATCCAAGTGTCTCACATCTGTGTTAAAAATAAAACTCAGAGTCAGAGCAATCTAATTAGATGGCTTAACCAAACACTGTGACTCTCTGTCTTCGCCAAGGTCTCATGCTTTGATGGTTACCAAAATAGATGGAAAAGTTAATCAAAGGTCTGATTAAATAGCACAACTATGCATTGAGGAGTTGTGATTTCCAGGATTTGCTTCAGGCAGATTCTCTGGGGAGGAAAGAAATGGAGCTGAGTTCCAAAGCCCAGGGCTTATGCAAGAAAGAGTTTTATAAAGCACATTGGAAGGAATTGCTTGCTGAGGTCTTAGATCTTGAGGTAATGACCACCTGGGAAGTTAACTCAGGGAATGATGTGGTAGGTTACCAAACTCAGACCCAAAATCAGGAAACAAACAAAACATTAGAACCTTCCTCTGGCAAATTCTTGGTTTCAGTGTGTGGTTGTGAAATATGTGTGATTGCATTTGGAAGCCAAATGTTGATATGAGGTATCTTCCTCAATTACTCTCCACCTTTTTGAACTGAGAACTCATCAATTCATTTCATCTGCCTGGTCAATGAGGTCCAGCAATCCACTTATATCTGTGCTTCCCTCTTCCCAGCACTGGAGTTACACATGTGTGCATTTTATGTTATTATGGTTCAAAGTCTGGTGCTCCTAACTGCTCAGCAAATACTTTCCTCTGGGCTATCTTCCCAGCTCCTCCTCCAGCAATTCCCCCTCCCCCCAGGCTTTCCCCAAAACAACCTATCTTTGTCAATGTTCTGTTGCTGTGAAGAGACACCATAACCATGGCAACTCTTTTGAGACAGGGTTTCTCTGTGTAACATCCTTGGCTGTCCTGATACTCTCTTCGTAGACAAGGGTGGCCTCAAACTCACAGAGACCTACCTCTAACTGGACTGCCGGGATTAAAGGCATACACCATCATGCTCAGCTTGTCTTTTATTTTTTTCTTGCTGGCTCCTCCAGCAATTCTAACCACAGATTTACATCATACCTGCTGTAGCATGGAGTTGAGGGTTGGATGGTCACTGCCATCCATTCACCTGACCCAACTTTGAATTTTGCCCTTATGATCTACAAGGCATTATGCTTTACTCTGACCAGGATTTAATGTCTGCCACTGGCCAATATGGCTATGCCTTACTATTCACCTCCTTTGCCTTCCACACACTTGTCCCTAAATTTCCTTAGTTGCTCCAAGTTATATAATCAACTCTGAAGACTTAGAGCTAGGAGCCTCAGATGTTTAAAAATAAAACATAGGACATTTGTTTTTCTGGGTTTGGGTTACTTACTTAGTATATGTTTTTCTAGTACCATCCATTTACCTTCAAATTTTGTCATTTTATTTTCTTTATATGTACCACATTTTTATTAACCATCTGTCAGCTGAAGGTCATTTAGGTTGTTTCAATTTCCTAGCTATTGTGAATATAGCAGCAGTGAGATAGGGCTTTCTATCTTATTGGCCTTGGGATTGACCTTGATCTGTCAGTCTCCCAACTCTTCTTTACTTCCTTGAAAACAAGTGTTTCCTAAATGGAGTTATAAGGACAAAGGAAATGAGTATGATTTGGAATTCTGAGGTGGTGGCTCCAGCTTCATGAAAAGGATTAAAATGTGGACTGTGTGTTCTGTGGAATCCCTCCATACACATGACCTTTGCCTTTCTTCTCACAATGGTCTTCTCAAATGACATACATAAATGAGGGTTTTTATCACAATGAGGCTGTGTATAGGCCTTGGCATTTCGATAGCATGTGCTTGTGGCTGATCTATTTATAGGACACTGGTTGTTCCTGGTGTGTGGGCCCTGCACCTCTGAGGTTTTTTTCATGTAAGTGTAGCCTCCATTACTATCAGATGGCTAGCATTATACAGATTCTGACCAGGTCCTCATTTACATGAGGATGAAGAGGAGACACTGGTACCAACTGATCCTATTATAACTTTAAAGTAGATATAAGCATAAGTATTAGAAATACCAACAGAGAGGTGTAATGATCTCTAATGGCACATAAGTATAATGAATTAAAGAAATAATTCTACTTATGAACAATGAGGTGCTAGGGATTTTTTTTGTTGCTGTTCTTGTTTTGTTTTTTGTTGTTTTGTTTTCACATACTTATGTTCTTCAGTGGACCCATATGATTTCTCTAATAATAAAAAAGTATTTTCAAAATCTTAGCATAGAATTTTTATTTAATAGTTACATCACAACTAGTATTTTATACTTGTATGATTCAAATATATTTTTATTCCCAGAAAAACTTGATATGGCAAAGTGAAATGAATAAACCTTTAAAGAAAATTCATTTATTTATTTAACATATTTATAAAATTGGGTGTTATTTCTGTCTCAGCATGGTTTATAATGTTTAAGCAATGAATCCATGTGGTTATTATTTTCCTTTTTCTTATTTTACCAACTCTCTCCCTCTCTCTTACCCCCATACCTTCCCTTCTATCACCTTTTCCTTCCCTCCTTCTCTCCCGCTTTCTCTCTATTCTGTCCTATCTAGTCTGAAGTGTCCTGGATCCCCAACAAACACTACTCTGGGATTTATGGCCTGATGAAGTTGGTTCTGACCAAGACTCTACCTGCCAACCTGGAGAGAGTGATTGTCCTAGATACTGACATCACATTTGCAACTGACATTGCAGAGCTCTGGGCCGTGTTCCATAAGTTCAAAGGTAGGAGTTAACAAGACAACCATAATTAATTTTTAAAGACATTTCACTTATTATCTGTATTTCTGTGTGTTTGGTGTGCACGCACATGCGTGTGCACGCGCACATGTGTTTGTGTGTGTGTGTGTGTGTGTGTGTGTGTGTGCGTGTGTCTGTGTCTGTGTGTGTCTATGTGTGTATTTTTTTTCTCATATACTATATTCTGATTGTAGTTTCCCCTCCTTCTGCTGCTACCAATTCCTTCCCACCTGCCCTTTCATCTAGACCCACAACCTTACCATCTCTCTTAGAAAGCAAACAGGCTTCTAAGGGATAATAATGAAATAAAATATAGCACAAGATAAAACAGAAAGTGACACATTTGAATAGGACAACTTCATAAGGCCATAAATCCCAGAGTAGTGTTTGTTAGGGATCCAGGACACTTCAGACTAGATAGGACAGAAAGCGGGAGAGAAAGAGGGAGGGAAGAGAGCCCAAGAAAAGTCTCGGGAGACAGAGGTGCAGAGATCCAATTTTTCACACACTCAGAGATTTCTTACAAATGCAAAAGGGAAGCCATAACAAATAAAATTTAAAAAAATAAAAATAGCAATCAAATAAATAAATAACAGCCCTTCATGAGAAAAGAAACCTCCATTGAGTTTGTTTTCTGTTAGCCATCTAGTGCTGGGAATGAGGCCTACCCTTAAGAGTAGTTAGTTTCCCCAGTGAGATTCCCTGGGAGAAAACAAAACCTTCAGTTGCATTGTTTATCAAGTGGAGATAGTGGCTGGATTAGGGATGGGATGGGATGGGATGGGATGGGATGGGATGGGATGGGATGGGATGGGATGGGATGGGATGGGATAGGGCAGGTGTCTACTTCACCTGTCAGCTCAAAGACTGCATCAGTTGAAGACCCTGTGCAGGCTATGTGCATGTTGCCATAGTCTCTGTGAGTTCACATATGAGTTCATCCTGATGATTTAGAGGCCTTGTTTCATTGGTGTCCTTTTCCACCCTCCCCTCTGGCTCTTACATTCTTTGCCTGTCTTCTACAGGGTTCTCTGAGGCCTAGGACCTGATGGAGATACCCATTCAGGGTTTCAAGGTCTCTCACTCTCTGCATATTTGGGTGTCTATTTGTTCCCATCTGCTGCAGGAGAAAATTTCTGTGATGATAGCTGAGAAAGGCACTGATATGTGAGTAGAACAGTATGTCCCCTGAAGTCATTTTGTTATGCTCTTTTAGTAGAACAGTATTGTTTGATTTTACCCTCAGTCTCTGGGCTATCTAGTCTCAGATTCTTGATCACCCAAGCAGTATCAGGTATGGGTTCCATCTTCTGGAGTAGATTTTAAGTCAAATCAAGTATGATTAGATTGGTTATCCCTACAAATTTTGTGCCACCATTGCACTAACATTATTTGAAGGCAGGACACCATTGTCGATCAAAGGGTTTGTAGCCAGATTGGGTGTCTACATTTCTCATTGGGTTGTTTGCGGAGTGCTTTCATGCACCATAGACTTTAGCTCATTGGAGTGAAGGCTCTGTTAGCATTAGCTCAATGTGTAAGTGTTCAGTAGGGTCTATCTGTCAGCCTGTGTTGTGTGTGGGTTCCCATGGGGCCAACAGCACAGTTAGATGTAGCCCATTCCTGGTAGTGGATGGTTCATTTGTTGAGAAGATATAGCCATTCTTTGGCTTCGTGTACTTTGGATATTTCTTCTGTTTTGGGCTTCCATACTCCCTCTCAAATGGTCAAATGGTCTTTGTTTTTTCCTGTATTTTTTTTTTTTTTTTTTTTTTTTTTTTTTTTTTTGTATTCACTCTCTTGTCCCATTTTTTCCTCCTTGGCCCCTTCTATTCCAGTTCCCAAGTACAGATGTGCACTTGCCATGTTGCTGCTGATGCTACTTCCTCTTCCTCCAACAACACCTCCTCATCCTCTTCTCCTTTAACAAATGATGCCTTGATTGCTGAGAATGCCTGGGAGGTAGTAGAAAAACTATAGATTTTAGAATGTTTGAACCATTCTATTGTGTTTGCTGTCACTAGTTCTATGCATTATTATTTTAAGCATGTATAGAAAGCTGTATTTGTAGCATTTCTAGTCTGGTTAGGTATTTTATTACATTCATAAATGTGTGAGGTACATGACTGTACAGATAGACACACCTATGCATGCACACATGGAGTTCACAGCAGGTCATCAGGCATTTTCTATCATTTTCTACTATATTGCCTTGAAAAAAGGGTCCTCTTTGAACCTGAAGCCTGCTTTTTGTTAGGATATGTGGCCAGTGAGCTCACAGCAACTGTCTCTCTGCCTCTCAGTGGGGAAGTATGCATGGCTTTTTATGTGAGTACTGAGATTCAAATGTAAGTCCTCAAATGTAAGTGGGTAGGTACTTTTACCCACTGAGCCATTTCCCAAGACCCTCTTTTTAAATGTTATTTGAGCCATCATCATTATTTCAAAGTATATAAAACTGTCTAAGGTCAAGTCATGAGCCTGATATGTGTATTTGAGTGTGCATACATGAGATAAATATCACATTAACACAAACGTTAGACTATTTTAATATCACCTTCCCAGAGGTCTTCTTGATCTCTGTTTTTTTTTTTTTTTTTTTTTTAATTTCTTCTACACATTGGCCAAATTCAATTTGAGAGAAATTTGGTAGTAAGGCTGCTATTTTTAGTTTATTTTTTAGTTCTATTTTTATTTGAGTTATACTCTGTCTTTTCTGTTTAAAAATCTCTCTGCCTCTCCTCTTTGTTGTTTGGAAGGGGAAATATCACTCAAGGAACTTAGATCACAGTATCCTCATTAATCTTGCGATATTCCTGTTGGTTTCTCTTTCCTTTCATGACAGAGCGTAAATTCCTTCTCTACCCTGTTTATTGCCTGTTTCTTCTGAGGGCTCCATAGTTCTCTGTTAACTGAACAAAATACTTGTCAAAGCATGAGGATGACATAGTAACCTCTGGGATGCTCCTTTATCAAGATGAAAATATATTTATGTGAGTCAGTAATGATACTAAGGAACAGATCATTCGACAGAACTAGGAAAACAGAAAACAAGTGTGTCTCTCCTTCCTCTGTTTCTCAGCTTTCTAGGATCCATCTTTCTACTTCCTGAATAAGCTTTCATGGGTACAAGGTTTTTCTCAAGACCAAACTCAGAACAGGTATGCTCCTTGGCTTCTGTCTGCTGCTTTTTTCATATTCTACTGTAATTTTTGTTGTCTTCTCCTTTCAAAGCCACATTGAACACATCTAGGGACAGTTTGCCTTTAATTGTGTGTGATTTCATCTGTGTTTTTATGCTGATGTTCAGTGTTTAATTGTGCATTTATTCTGCAATCATTACTGCATCCCTACTGGGTGCCAGGCAGTGTGCCCAGCTCTGGAAATAAGACAGTGAGTAATAAAGGGACAATGAGAGTTTGTCCTGGTGGGAAGTAGAGAAGTCAGGTAAAGTATCTTGCAGGAAAATGGTAACTGTGCTGTGTTGCTGGATGGGGGGAATGCTTGTGTGCCACATTAGCCCACAACTTATCTTTTGGAAGAGAAAACTTAGGGCTTCCATATCTTTGTCTATGTATAGAACCAGGCATCAGTTATCTCTGAGGAAATTGAAGAGAAACCTGTAGCTTCTGGCCAGATGTCATCCCTGGGTTGTGCTTGTCCTCAATTAACTGAAAAAAAAAGGAGATACATTGTAGTTCTCAAACATAGTCTTTAGTCTTCCCTTCCCCTCCCTTTCTTTGGATTCACTGACAAACCTGTGCTGTGCAAGCTCCCATCTCACCCTCCCAAGAACATACCCTATCCCCACATCAGGAGCTTGGAATTTCCCTCAGAGAAGTGAATCTCATTTACACTGGAGCAGGAGTCCTCCAACAACAGAGATGTAGCAAAGAGGTCACAATTACTGTGTTCCAGCTATCATGTTGCTTAATGACAATACTGTAGCCAAGAGTGCTGGGAGGGAAGAAAGGCCTTGGGGCTCTTAGAATTGGAGAGAGAATCCTGGGCCTGAGCACACTGTACTTGGTCAAGTTCATGACAGGGACAGGGGCTAGTTAAGTTTTTATTCGTTCTTTTATTAGTTTATTTTCAACATTACTTGGGCCCCTGCTATACAAAGGAATATATTAGATACCACTATTTCCAAAGTGCCTCTCAACCTTCCTAATGCTACAGCCCTTTAATAAAGTCCTTCATATTGTAGTGACCCCCAACCATAAAAGTATCTTCTTTTTTACTTCATAACTGTAGTTTGCTACTCTTATAAATCATAAATTAGATATACAGGATATGTGATCCCTTTGAAAGGGTCATATGACCCCCAAGGGTTTGTGACCCATAGGTTGTGAACCATTGTCCTAAAGCAACCCAAAACAAGGAACCCTTCAGAGAGATCCCACATAGGCCAGACTGCTTTACATCTTTGTTTATCCATGACTCTCTCCTATTATTTTCTGCTACTCATATATCAATGTATCAATGTTTTTTAATTTCTTTTTGTATTTTAAACTGGAACTAAGGAAGGCTCCCAGCAAGACAATATCTTCATAGGGCACACCAAAAAGAATGTAGAATGTTATGGTCCAAGCAAGAATTTCCATCTCATCAACGCTGTGATGTTTGACTTCATTCACTGTAAACATTATAAATAGCCTACCTAGCTATCTAGGCCTGCAGTGGCTCTTGTATTGAGACCAAACACAGACCTATCAACATTGCTCATGCTATAGAATCTCTTTCTAGTTAACTTCATCCTATAGAAAATCCTAATTCTCTTTTCATTTTCTGCCTTTGGGAGATGTTCCGTAACACTTGGCTTCTAATTCTCCCCAGCAGCAGACTGTGACACTGTAGATATAGCAGGCTGCACCTCACCAAGGCCTGTGCTGGCCACTGAATGTTTTTCAGAGCCATTAATCCTTAGCAACAGAAACAGACTCTGCATTTGTCATATGTGCACATAGTCTCCCACAGGCTTGTGT